AATTTTTATTATGCTGCAGCCGGAAATTTGTAAGATGGGAAAAAGTTCCTACCAATACAGAGACATTTTTTTATACATTCAATTCATATAAATGGCGATTTTTTTGGCAGACGATAGCTGCTATGCAAGAGTTTGTACTGTGTCCTCTTGTCAGTTTATCTGTGTGCGTGTTATTTTTTATCATTTATTTAATTTGTTTTTATACCTTTATTTATTTTTATGTTTCTTTAGTTAGTTTTACTTCATTTGCTTCTATGGTTTATTTTTCATTTATTTATTATGTTTGTTTAGTTACTTTTAATTAATTTCATTTGCTTCTTAATTTTTATTTGATATCTTCTTTAAATATTGTTTTAAATGGATGCTATTTATATTTTTGAAATAAATTGTCTTTCATCTCTTCGGGGAATATTTTTCGCATTTTTGAAATAATATAAGGTTTAAAATAAGATACGTTACAAAAATAAATAAAGAACAGGAATTCAATTAAATCTCAAAACTGAGTTCCTGTTCTTTATTTATTTTTCTGGTTTTGGTATATATTTTCAAGTTTTTATATTTTTTAGATTTTAATTTCACATTTCTTTAATTCTTATTTTGTACATTTATAGGATATTTTGAAATTTACTAGTACTGAACTTATCGGGGGTCTTTGTGTAAAATAGGTTCTAAATTTCTTATTTTGTGTGTATATATATATATATATATACTAAAGAAATATTGATTATATTATCTCCTAATATTAATTTTAGTAGAAGTATCACAACCCTTCTGAGTAAGACGCCGAAGAAAACACTTTGCCCACATCCCGCTAGAAAGAACGTAAGTTAATTAATACTTTTCCTGGCCTTTTATATGTTCATGTACATTCCCTTTTCTTATTATATATATATTAATTTTCAATTTTTATTATTTGATTTGTTTTTGCAAAGAATGCATTATATTTCTTAATTTTCTAATGTTTTTTCAATTACTTTGTATTTTATTTCATAATTCCAATTAAGATTACCAATGTTTAATTTTTTAGAAATAGTTTTGAATTAAAATGCATAAAAACGAGGGTGTCGGGGGACAATTACTCAAGTTTATCAATTTTACTACATAAATTGCTTTTAACTCAAAATTCTATTAGCGAAAATGCTTAATAAGAATGAGTTCTTTGGTACTCTACTTTGGTTCTAAATACCTTCACTTCACGGAAATATTTCGCTTAACTTAATTTGCCAGTTTGGCATCGCCTTATTACTTGAGTAAAAGACGAAACACCTTCGTATTTATTTATTAATTATTGTTAATTGAACGGGAGTTGGTTTGTTCCCCTTAAAAAGTTTACTAATTTCTGATCAATGGCAATAATTGCTTGCTTTTAATTTAATTTCTTTTCCCAACTGAAATTTTGTTATTCATGATTTACTTCAAGTCTCGTAAAACATTTTTAACAATTTACATTCAAGTTACTTTAAAACAATTTTCGGAATTAAACTTCCTACCTATGGGTTCACACTTTTTTGATACTTCTACTAAAATTAATATTAGGAAATAATATAATCAATATTTCTTTAGTAAATAAATTATTATTATCTTACTTTGCAGCTATTGCGCAAGTATTAGAATAACTTGTTTTCGAACCTAGAGAATTTAAGATCATACAAAATTATATATATAAGAGAAAGAAAGAGCATTTTGATAATTATTATACTAGTAATAGAATATTATAGCAGAATAGAATCCGATTTTTATTGTATTAATTTCTCATAATACAGCAAGCAGGTAATAAAGATGCAGATATCTGTTCTACTTGATTTTACGACTTGATAAGAAGCTTGATGCTAAATTAAATTTATAAAAATCCAACTTTTAAAAAAACTTGCTGTTTGTAATCACAGAGCCTTTTCACATAATCCTATTCACATATTTCATATTTTAAACAAGTGATCGGTACCTAATAATTTGCAGATTCTTTAAAAGTTTTCTTTTCTTTCCTCTTATTTTAAGCATTTTTGTTAATTAATTTATTTATGTTTTAATAAATTTGATCAAATATAGTGGGATGTAGAGCAGGTTTAGATCAAAGAGCACTTTTGCACGATACCCCAATTGCCTATTATTTTGCTACTGCTTTTTATTTAATCATTTATTGCAGTATTTCATCGTTTATTTATTCATCTCTTTATATAGATATAAATTCATCACATATGCAAATAAATAAATAAATAAAAGGGAAAAAACTGAGACTTGTTTATATTTTGATTGATTATATTCAAAATCAGCGTTCAATTTAAAGTTACTTTCTTTCCTGTAATTTTAAATTTTACTTTAGCGTGTTTCCCTTTCTACTAGGTTTGTCATATGTTTTTGAATCATCTCTCCATCTGTGTTCTATTATAGACGAATGTATTTTTCCAAATAAAAACCAATCTAATTAAGTTAAACTAATTTAGCTACCGATATGGTATGTTCACTCTTTCTTTTGTTTTAATAAAGGTATAAAAGATATTAGCAAATTTATATTTCAAAATTATAAAAGCTATATATCTATGCTTCAGTTATAAAGACGGTCATATAATTCAGTTAACTTCAACTTACTACTTCCAGAATGTAGTTTTGGAATCTTGCTGAATATTTAATAAGGAGGAGCAGTATTTAAACCACGATGTTACTTACAGAGGCAGAGAGAATCAGAGTTTCTGATTTACGCGCGTCTGCCCTTTTGGCCACTTTCTCTCAAAGCTGTTATTAAGCTCAAAGCTCGGCCGTACTCAGGCCGTTGCTAAGCTTCGTAGTCAAATAAGTTAAGGGGCCAACTCGATTTGAATCTTGATAGCTTCGGCTATATTTCTTTAGTTAATCTTACTTTTAGTTTAATTCTTAGTTTCTTAAGTTCAAGCCCAAGTGAGGGCTTTGTTTGTACACTCCCAGGCAGAGTTTTGTTAAATCTTACAGTTACCCTTATATCTTGTTCTTTCTTGTCGCCCGAACTTAAGCGATTATTCGCTTATCTGTTCTTAAGATTCTTCGCTTCCAATATTAACTTAGAGTTACAAAGTGAGGAACTCTACACTGTGATTGGCATGGCAACCTTTATCCAGTTAAAGTGTTTTATTTTTTTTTGCTGCAAATTTTATTCTCGTACCTTAAGCATTAAGTTTTATATGAACCTTTTGGAAAATAAATATTGAATTGCTATGAGCGTGGTGAAAAATCTTGTACTTAAAACTAATTCTTTGTGCTATGGCTTTATAGATGCTGCCACTCAGATTTAATTTTACAAAAATTAATAAAATTTTGCAGAATCTGTCTGAGTTTAAGTATATAGACGGAAAAGTGTTACAGAATATTTTTGCTAAGTTATTACCGCAGTTTTGTACAGCAATTAGTAAGCAAAAATGCTTCCCATGTTCGAATGTATTTAATATTACTTGTCTTTATACAATTAGATATAAGTAAAATTTATCGAAATTATAATTTTCTTTATTAAATCACTCTAACCTTAAGAGCGGTTTTTCAAAGCACATTTCATTTTCTGTATTAAATTGTGAATTTTAATCTCTATAACTTCCACCTGCACAAAATGTAAATTTTTAGAAGCGGAGTTATTTTCTATTCTCACGATTTGTCCCTATCACTCATTAAATAAAAAGATGTTGCCATCAAAAATTATCGTTATGTATTGTTTTTAAAGAAATCATATAGCTGGTATAAAAAAAATACGGCAACACAAATAAAAGAAAGTTGCCACCAAATTCATATTTTTAAAGAAATAACGCAGTGAATATAAAAAAAAAATGTATGACAACACTTAACACTCTAAATTCTAAAGATATGCTGCTTCGAAATACTTTGTGATTTTGTTGTTGATTTTTATGTGGCTAAGTGCGAAAAAAGTGCTGTTTATAAAAAGACCCCCAAAAAATTTGTGTGGTCATCTTACTAAGAAAAATTGAACACTGACATGTTGTTTTCAAAATATTTTGTGATTTTGCAGTTGAATTGAATTTTATGTGACGTAAATGCGAAGAACGTGATTTCAAAAAGACAAAAACAAATTTCTATTACCCATCTTACAAAGAAAACTGAATATTGATATGATAAACTGAGAAAAGACTGGAAAAAAAAAGTACAAAAATGCATGCCAACACTGTATCGGAAATTTTAAAATCTGTTGCTATGCAGCTTTTAAAATTTTTGTTATTGAACAAGTGCGAAGAAAACGATGCTTGATATTAAAGCTAAAAAAAAAAAAAAAAAAAAAAAAAAGAGGTTGGTTAGCTGATAAACTGCGTGCTTAGCAAGAGCGTAGAAAACCTTAACAAACCTTTTTAGACGACTGTTAAAATCTGAAACCTTCTAAGTTTTTATTTTTAATTATTATCGAAATACACCAAGTATTCAATATTCTGCCCACCAAGCTGAATTCAGTTTAAAAAGCGTATTATGTCAACTAAATTGAAGGAGAATTGGAGATGCGATTAACAGTTCCGACAGCCCAGTCCCCATCTGCGTACTGAGGCTCTTCAGACGATGGTATAAATGTCACAGAGGCATAGTCATAAGGCACAAGTCCCGTTCATATTTGCGAGACAGGGTCTGAGCTCTAACCAACAAGAGAAGCTAAATTTGCGCATACGTGGATTGTGTCTGCAGCTTTTCCTCTCAATAAGTTTGGTGCGTTCGCCCTGATTGGCCGGCTCTTATAAACTAAGTCGGCATAAAGCTGAAAACTTCGAATTTTATGCCTAAACCAGTTTTCATGACCTAGCAACGAAGTTCGGCTTAAACCAATTATGACAATTATACCACCGTCTGATCGGTGCCTGAGAGACCATCTACTTCGATTTTAGTTGAAAATATCTTTATAATTTCTTTTTAGTACCTATATGCATGATGGCTAATTCCTTAATATGAAAATGTGTTACGATGTGGATAATTTAAAATGTGGTACATATGGTTATTATTGAGTACAGAAAAGTAACACGAACAACAATGAAATAAGATAACAATAAGAAAGTGTAATATTGTTTATTCGTTCGGTACAATGGCTACAAGTTTCGTCTCTGGTATAAAAAATACTTCGCGCATCCCTCGGGCGACGTGGCGGAGGAGTAACAGTGACAGTCGTCCTCTGTTTCCGGGGAAGAAGATATCACAGCCTAAGAGAATCCATATTTTTCGAAGCGCGACTGGCACTGGAGACGAAGCTCACGACTATTGGTTTTAACTAGCCACTGTTATGACGAGAAAGTATCACAGGCAGCGTGTATGACACAGGGGCGGATGGCACGCGGGAGGTTTTTGGATTCCCCCCATTGCGACCGGAGGGGAGACGACGGAGAAGATACACAACTGGAGGAGACGGACGCTTCCATTCCGCTGACGAGTGCGAACGGTCGTCGTCCGGGTACTGGGGGCGGGTTCGGACATGCATGTCATCTACCCTTGGTCTCTTTTTGACTCGATTGATAATCTTTACCCATGCAGATCATACTGGAAAGATCTTCTTTCTTAAAGAATTAGCATCACTTGGGCAAGATATCGATTCAGAAGAATGAAGCGTTTTTCTGCTGAATTATAATTCGTATCTTAATAGGTAGTAAAATGACATTTATAGCACTGATTGTTGATAAACATTGTCGGGTTTCGTTGTGCGAATTTCAGATGAAATGGCACAATTAATTGTCACCAGGATCATTTTACTTACAAGTTCGCGCACGCAATAAACATTCACATTTTTAATAGCACTTCTTGGCCTTCTACAATGCAATTTGATTTATAAAACAGCTTAAAACCGTTTAAATAAATAGATTATGAATCATCGATTATAAAAGCAAATCCACGGGAATTATCGATAATTTCTTTCGGAGAACGAATTTAAGAATCAGACTTTTCCATAGCTTTGGGCGTAAGTTATGCGTAAGTTTTCAAGTCTGAAAATTTATACAAGTTATTTTCCCTTACGATTCCAATGTATAAAAATAATTACAAATTATTTTTAAATTAATACCCTACGTCAAAATTCATTTTAAGAAAGTGATCCATCTTGTGGAATATATCGGGGAACAATACTTCGCATACGAAACGAAACCCGACAACGTTGGTTTGACACCAAGTACACGTGGGATAGCTTTCCCAAAGTTCTTATGATTTCTTTTTTTAAATGTTGGAAGCAACAAGAGAATTCTCTCCTCACAGTTCATGTGTAAACTTAATGTATAAGAGATTCATGTGTAAATACAAGATTCTTCCCTTGCAGTTCATTTGTAAACTTTAATCTATAAGAGATTCATTTATAAAGACGAGATTCTTCCTTTGCAGTTCATTTGTAAACTTAATCTATAAGAGATTCATTTGTAAAGACGAGATTCTTCCCTCGCAGTTCATTTGTAAACATAATCTCTCATAAAATATATCTCCTTTCAACAAAGTAACTGAATTACAATTTGCTTGTAGGAACATAAATATACAAATATTAACGAATATACCAGAATAGGCTCACTTCATACATTTCATACACATTGTAAACATAGAGATACAAATAGATAATTCATTTAAATATACAAAGACAAATAACTGGGTATGGAAAACACAAAGAACACATGTTTGCAACAGTCACACATCTAACAAAAATCGTACAGATCTATGTCAGTGATTCAGTCCGAACCCGCTGGCCCACAAAAAACACTCGCTGGTATATAATTATACTATATGTATTTATATATATTTAAATCCTCAACAAACAGGTTGGACGACGAAGTCCGAAGACGGCGCCGCCTCAGCATCTTCAAGCTCTGTCTCGAGCGCCCAGATCATGACGCGTCTTAATCTCTTTTCCAAGTCCATGATATCGCGGTCCGAAATCAGGCGGAAACACATATCTCGAGGAATTAATGGAGAATCTCGCGCATTCGACTCACAAATACATCGGATTCTGAAGCTCTGCATCGAAAAATGCTTGTGGATGAATGTTCTTTTCTTGTTTGTTTACTTTTTTTAAGTCATCCAAAAAATATACCTATGTGCAAACATTAAAAAAGGAAACTGTCTCACGTAGGATAAATTATCAAACATTTCTTCTTTCTTGAAGTTCACTTGCTATAAGCGACTCACTCGGCGAACAGCAATCGACTCATGATTTGAAACACTACAGCAGTCGCATATTTACAACGATGACTAAATTTGTTTTATTTACATAACATAGATCCTCGAAGAAACTTCAGTTTCTATCCTGCTGAGGAAAAAGCGGTGCATTTTTCATGACGTCCCGTTTTGCCAACAGGTTCCCTGAGGATCCAGTCCCTCGTCTGTTAGGAAAAAGCCTGTTCCAGGGCACAGGAGACGAGGCCATACATTTGGGATGGGGAATGGCACTTCCACAGTCTAGTGGAGGAGGGGTAGATTCTCGCTGACCAGCAGCGTTTGAATTTTTTGTCTAACAAACGGATGTCTCTTCTCCTTCCAAAGTGCAAGCCACCGTCTCCAGTTTGTCTGCTAAGTGCAATTTTTGACAATAAGGATCCATTTCCAAAGCTTCCAGGACCTGTAGGAGAAAACATTTGCATCAGTATAAATTTAGAAGTCAAACAACAAAAAATCAGCGTTACATTTGCAAATTTTCACAGGACTAGTTTCGATGGTTTTACCGAACCATCATCCTCAGCTGTCAAAGCGCAAATGAACGAGAAACTATAATAATTAGATAAGATAAGAATGGCTGGACAGGAGTTAAGCTACTGGCGCCATCTACTGATGAAATAAGACCTAAAACAATTTCCATAAGGGCTAAAGGCAAAGATGGATTAGGGTCTTTAACTAGAACAGAAAGATATTTTTTGAATGTGAAACGCCTCCAGAAAATCTAATTCACCAATGGAAGATGTTTTTTGAATAATTTTGGCTGCAGAAAAATTCAAAGTGTGATTTTATCTTAATTTACATCAGTGTTTATAATGCCCTCAAAATACTAATTACATTTATATATTTTAATACACATCAAACCCTCTCGAACCGCTTGACTAGAAACCCGACTGGTTATATAGGTTTGATAATATCAGACCGTACACGTATGCCGCCTCGTTCTCTGCTTTCTCATTCCTGGTGGCTAATATAATGAATAATATAGGAAAAACATTCTAGCAGGAAACGAGAATTCAGGAAAAAGCATTCAGCAGGAAAAAGCATTCTAGCAAGAATTTTTCCAATGAATCTATCTCAGACAACCAACACTGAAAGTATTCCGTATTTTTGTGACCATAAACAAATACCGTTTTTAGATGCCACATGCCAAAAAAAAAAAAAAAAAAAAAAAAAAAAAAAAAAAAAAAAAAAAAAAAAAAAAAAAAAAAAAAAAAAAAAAAAAAAAAAAAAAAAAAGAAAAAAAAAAAAAAAAAAAAAAAAAAAAAAAACAAAAAAAAAAAAAAAAAATAAAAAAAAAAAAAAAAAAAAAAAAAAAAAAAAAAAAAAAAAAAAAAAAAAAAAAAAAAAAAAAAAAAAAAAAAAAAAAAAAAAAAAAAAAAAAAAAAAAAAAAAAAAAAAAAAAAAAAAAAAAAAAAAACAAAAAAAAAAAAAAAAAAAGATAGCTACTTCAACAGAAAAAGAAAATTATTTAGAATTGTAGGCGGTCATCTTATAGAGTATCCACTGTATACTAACGTATAATACATTATTTTAAAATTAATAGGTTATAAAATATCTAAACTATTTAAGACACTGTTTAGTATTAAAATTAATAGGTTATAAAATATCTAAACTATTTAAGACACTGTTTAGTTTTAAAATTAATAGGTTATAAAATATCTAAACTATTTAAGACACTGTTTAGATTTTTGAGTAATTTTTCTATTAACAGGTTGACTGTCACAGCAAAATGGTACTCTGTAAAAAAATACTCTGTTGGGCCATTTTTTAATTCTAGTGTTTTCTTTTCACATTTATCCTTAAAATAAGTTTAGTACCTAGTTTTACTCCCAAATAATTATTTTAAATTAATAATTATTTAAAAATTACAGTAGCAAAATATATATTAAAATCATATCACAATTTATGGAAAAAAGCTTATAAAAGCCGGAAAACTACGCAGCAACTTTCTTAGGCCGTTGAAATAATTTTAACCGTACAAATCTGTGTGCTCGTAAAGCACCGATGACATCACACGGCTACAAACAATATAAAATTTGTAAATGACATTCGATGCACACGGCTCTGAAAAGTAAAGCCGCTGTGAATGATGGATCATGCACATGGCAGTCAAGGTCTTAAGAAAACTGAAAACAATCATTTCCATCAAGCAAGAAAGATTAATATAAGCTGATTACCGCAATTAACAGAGTAAACACAGAAAATGAAGAACTAAAATTGTGCACGTGGGTTATACGACTAATACCACAAATACATATGCCCGATTCGGACTATTTACTTGGGAAAGAAAGTGGAACATCTGCAATTCGTGTCGGAAGGACTTTTTATAGATATTATTTTAAAAAAATTCTACTTTCTTACAAGTATTACTTTTAAGAAATTGTAGTTTTTTTTCATAAATATTACGTTTAAGAAATTTTACTTTTTTACAAATATTACTTTTAAGAAAAGTTACTTTCTTTTATAAATATAAGAAATTGTACTATTTTTATAAATATTATTTTTAAGCAGTTTTTTCTTTTTTATAAATACTACTTCAGAAAAACATGACTTTTTTTAAATATTACTTAAAAAAAATTTTAGATTTTTTTTAAAAAGCATTACTTTTAAGGCCAGAAAAACATGACTTTTTTTTAAATATTACTTAAAAAAAATTTTTAGATTTTTTTTTAAAAGCATTACTTTTAAGGCCAGAAGTCCGTTATCCCAGAAGGGCTATTAGTCCCGAAATGGCATTTTGCGTCGAATTACAGTAAGACCCCGCTTAACGCTGTTTCGGTTTAGCGCTCTTTTATTTCAACCCGGGGATTATCCGAAATTGTGCGCAGCACTAGGTTTCCAAATAACATATCCGAAACAGTGTAGTTTGTGTTTCTTGTTTGGTACGGACTGTACGGACGCATTTTTATCATTTGAAACATTTGTTGACATTATTGTAAGTTTAAATTTGCATAATACTGTAAAAAACGATTAATATAGTGACAAATATTATGATATTTTAGTTTTTTATCATGGGTGATAATAAAAAACAAGAAAAGAAAGCAACCAGAAAGAGCATTTCACTGGAAACTCAGAATGCAAGTGATTAGAAGATTAGATTCTGGTGAACGTCAATCTCAAACTAGTGCTGCACTGATTTTGGCAACTTCAACAATAAGGACAATTCTTAAGAATAAAGGAAAAAATACTGTCATCGGCAACTGCAACTACGTCTAGAATTACCCGTTCTAGAAATAACATTATAGAGGAAATGGAAAAACGACTGTCTATATGGATTGACGACGAAATTGAACGCAATGTGCCATTAAGCCAATCTATCATAATGCCTTCTTCACAAAAAGGCAGAAAATTGGAAACCCAGAATAGACTGAATGATCTGACTGAGAATTTTATTTATTTTTTTTAAAGTATATGCGTTTATATTGTTTTTATTTTTGTAAGAAATAAATGTTTGATTTTATTTTTATTAAAAAAACATTATTAAATTTAATGCCTAACCATTTTTTATCCGTCTTCCCCTAACCCCATTATTTACATGTTAAGATAGCGTCGCTTAGCGCTGTTTCGCATTGCGCTCTACTTCGATGGAACGTATCCCCCGCGTTAAGCGGGGTCTTACTGTACTATACACGGATGTATCACTTTTCAAATCGTTGCCACCAAATATTATCGCCATGTATTACATTTAAAGAAATTAAACAGTGAAAAATCTGCATGACTGTATGTATATTTCTCGAGCTGCCCAACCGGTACAGTGGTTAGCGTCGCTGACTGCCGTACAGAAGGGCCTGGGTTCGAATCCCGGATAAGGCTTATAGTAAGGCGTATAGTGTCGGCGCGGCATGGTGGCACTCTAAATATGCAGCGAGCCGAAAGTCCTTTCGTGTGGTTTGGTGAAAGAGGAGACGGGTTGGAAGACCCTCGGACCCTGTCCCCAAGGGCTGCTCTCCATCAAAATGAGGGGGGGGGGTGGAACTGAGCTAATTCGTACTGTCACCTGTTAGGTGCTCAAGGCTGTTGCCAACGTCAGGCGTAATCTTGCGGTCCTTGCCACGAGGAATTTCGTGGGCTTGGGTTGACTATGTCAGACAAGTGATAAGCAACAACAACATGTATGTTTTTCACACTGTAAAAAAACAACAGTACCTACAGCCACCAAATACTAAATAATTGTAGTCCACTCCACTCGGATATGGGCCCCTGGAAGCTATATTCTTAAACTTTAACGAATTTTTGATTAACACTTTGCGGCACAGTGTGTCCGGTCTCGACACACCTAAAAATTTCCCTCTGTACGCACAAAAATTTGAATGAAAAAGGATTTACAGGTTACTATAGGTTACTCTGAACCTTCTTTATTTATAGTAGATGGCAGCTCAACAAAACCAGTCCATATATTTTAGCCATGCTTAGTTTTTTAAGACCCTCATTTTTCAAAGAAATCTTCCAGATTTTTTTTAGGGAATAAAAGGAATTGTTTGAGAAGAAATTTCTATGTTATTTTTTTGGCTGTATGCTATAATCTCCTTATTCTATATATTTTTTAAAAATTTTTACCTTGAAATCTTGCCTAAAATGAAACGGCGAACCCTAGGTGTGCCCAGATCGGGCTCACCGATAATCTAAGACAACTGAGAGTCTGTACGCTTTGTTTCTCCGCATCTCATCGGTCAGTTCATTGACAACGTAGCTCGTTTCAGCACTCTTTTCGAAGCTCTATTCAATCAGTGTGCCACTTTGGGCACACCCACAGAATTAAACGATAAGTGCTATCTTCACAAAATTTTACTTGTGTACTCCTTTAGGCCTAATTAGACTGCCTACTTTTTTTTTTAATCAAAATTCCAACTTTAAAAGGTAGCGTGCCGGAAAGTGTTAAAAAATCAATGATTTCAAAGCGAACAGTGGCAACACACGATACGGAATAAAATATCTTTACCTCCAGCGAACGAGACTGTCTATCGGAAATTCTAAAGCTATGCTGCTTTTAAATATTTTTAGCCCAAAGGGGCGTTAATCCAAATGCTCTCGAAACATGCATGTATGTGTAAATGAAAGAAACGCCCCTTTGAGCGTAATATAAAAGCCGAAAGCTCCAGAGATTTTTTTTAATATTACTTTTTTCTTAAGGAACATTACTCTTTTATAATTATTATTTTAAAAAATCGTCATAAAAAGGAAACTTAAAGAACATTGTCAAATCGATTAAAATCTTGTCCTATCTTCCTACGTTACATTTCAGCCATGGGTTTCCTCTTGACGCTACTGTTGGACGAGTCAATCTGGCAGAATACCAGTTAGAATCGTGCGATCAGTTAAAATAGTAAGAGACCAACAATATATTCCTCACAATTCATCCCTCTACAAATATAATATAACTAGTTTACGAAATTAAAGACGCATTATATAACTATATATCACTTTTACATGAAATGAATTTACTAGAAAAACGTACTGGACATGTTTAACCCGACATGTTAGTCGAGTAATTGCAACAACAAGCGAGAGTTCATATTTAAAGAAGATGAATTCACCGGGAATAAATGTAAATCCAGCGGCTGGATAATTTTGCACCAGACCTCACTGATGAATGACTTACTCATTTTGTCGCAGGAATGTCATTTGGTAGTTTGATGCATCACCGATTGTTGCCACTGGCACTTGTCGCGAATAAAGTCAACGATTTGGAAAGAGGAGGAATACATTAAATCAATTAATGAGTCATTAATACACATCACTGCCACCTAATCGTTACCACAAATGGAATTAGCATTGACGCAAAAAGACAGATATTACCATCGTTAGTTGAGACCCGCCCGATATCAAATACAGCCCGGCATTAAACTTTTCACTCATTAAGAAATATAGCAGTTAGAATAATGCAGGAGACACTTATCAGTTTTGATAATATTTCAAAGGGGGATTAGAGCTATTTGAATGGCCAAAGTTCCTTCATTTAAATGCTGAAATATTTGGCAATTAAAATATTTATGAAAAATGAAATATTATCTATCCTTTTCGAGATTTAGTACGCTAATTCTGTTCCTATTCGAACAAGAATAGCTTATGTAAATTGGCTTATGTAGTTCTAGACAAAACTCTCGGCTCTAACTTGACAGCTGACCAGATTATATTATTGAAGAACGCAAATTAATACTACTCGTATTATATCTATCTGTGTTAAATTAATACTATTATATCTATCTGTGTTCTTCGCATGCCAAGATATTTAAATTCCTAGATAACTGTCCGTGTATCATAGAAATGAATGCTTATTCATTGAAACAGCACATTACATTCCTATTGAAACCAGTTACATTCTTCGTTATTCGTTATCTTTATAATAATGCATTAATACTTTTTTTTATTTTTATTTTCAAAGCATGATTAATAACTTTGAAGAGACATTAGGTATTTTTGATGCAGGAGAAATGAAAAAAGAGCAATACCCTCGCAGGGACTCGAACTACGAACCTCTCGAATACGCGCCGAGCGTGCTGACCACTACACCACAAAGGCATGCTAAGAATGAGGGAGAAAAACCTTATATAATCCCTCTTCTAAAGGGCGACTGGGGATTAGGGGACACACTCGCCAAATCCTGGTGGTGGAGAATAATCATCCACCACCCTTTTAGTTCGGGCGCCACTGTAGATACATTAGGTATTTTTTTATGGAGGACAGATGAAAAATGAGCAAAGTCCTCGCCGGGACGCGAACTACGGACCTCTCGATTAAGCGCCGAGCGTACTGACCACTACACCACGAAGGCATGGCTAAGAAAAGCGGCTGAAATACCTCATAACTTTTTAATCATTATGAAAAAGAAAACATTTATGGTAACGTTTTTGCGATGACTGCACAGTAATGAGATATTTAATTTAAGATTTCTCAATATATGAGAAATTAAAGATAATTAAATCCAAATTTTGACATCCGTTCTTTGTCAGTGAAGCATGTATAAATCTCAAACATCTTAGTTCAGCGTGAATTTGAAGTATCATAACTTCAGACCATTTTTCTTCCTACGAATAGTTATTATGATCTGATCAAGTTGCTTAAAACGAATTCTGGACCACTCTGATAATTTCTGATAATTAATCTGATAACTTCAAAGGCCATACGGAGCCCACCAGCGGCCGAGCGGTAAAGACACTGAACACTGGTAGTTCGGTCTGAGGTTCGAATCCCGCGAACGGGCTGGCTGCATGGGCGTTTTCGTGGTTTTCCCCATGTGTAACGTGTATACGAGCCAGTTTCCCTTAGAAAGTCCTCCACGAAAGGCATCCCTCCCTTTAGGCAGATAGCCCTCGTGTGCTTTGCCATAACTGAATAATCCAATCCTAATCCAAATCAAAGGCCATACGAATTCTGCGTATGTTGAGCTGACCAAAACACATGAATGCAATTTTAAAAGGAAACGGTTGACAGTCACATTCCAGTTTAAAAAAGCTTCCATAGGTCACGTTTCAATGCATTAAACCAACGTTTTAAAAAGAAATAATATTTTCCTTGTTTCGTAACTTTTTAATTTTCTTTTTTTTAAAAAATTATTGATGATTTAAAGTGATCTGCTGAAACAACTAAACCAATTGCTTCAAACAATAGAAAATGGAAAAAGAAAATAATAATAATTTCTGTCAAATTTATTTAATTTAACCTTAGTATTTTATGTAACAAATAAATTACAATACATACCTGTTCATTATACTTGGCAGCATACACATATAGTTCACGCAAGGCACTCACGATGTCGAATTCCCCAAGATGAGACTGCAAAAATATGAAATGAATATTATTTACACGATAACTACTGTATCTTGGGGGGGGGGAACTATTTTCACATTACACGGAACCTTAAAAATATTATTCCTGTATAAAAATAACAAAGATATACTTAAAAAGTAATAAAACGTGTATATTCATGCGCTGTAGTCTACTTTCAAGAAAATTGGTAATAGTTAAACGGCTGATAATAAAAATAAACTGAGTCTGCCGCCCAGCCGGGACAGTGGTTAGCGACGCTGGTTGCCGTACCGAAGGGCCCGGGTTCGAATCTCTGAAAAGGCATTGATGTTTGTAAATGTATAGTATCTGCGCGGTATGGGACACTCAGCTCAGCGGGAGATAAAATTCGCCTAAAAAGTTAACCGCTATCAAATAAGCATAATTTACTGACTCGTGTTTGCTGTAGTTTAGGCCCTAAATCTCCACATAAATCGCATTGTAAATGCTATTATAATACTTAGAACTTACGACTATCATATTACTGGCATTCCTTGTGTGATTATAACCTTAAAAGGTCATCCTATTGCAAGACACTGAACCTACATACTGCTTAGGTTATGAAGCAGATGCTGAATACCCTCAAATAAGAGATCTAGTTCAAAAATTCAGGGCATTACTTCAGGCATTATTTATTACCAGGACATTATTTATTTCATTCACCTAGTATCTGACGACATCCCTAAAAGACATTGGTTCCAATATGACAATCATGCAAAGAAGGTTGAAACCTATTTCATCAGCAAGATAGGCAGCAATTCCTTTAAAATAAATTGAATCTGTTGAGCCGAAACAGTCTCCTAATGTTAATTTTTTACTGCTCTCTTATGGATAAAAATAATTTACATTAAAAATGGCGCTAATTTAAAAAATTATACAAAAGCTTGATGCTCGGCATCAAAGTTTCACAATACACATATTTTTAGAGAAAGATCCCTAAATCTAAAATCTTACTCAGATAGGATATAAAACAAAGCTAAAATAAAGGTACGTACCAGAGATAGCGCCTGCATAGCAACGCACATCTCCTGGTCTGTAACGGGTGGCATGGCTGCCACATCTTGGTAGAACCGATTCACCATCTTGCGGTACGTTGGAATATCCTTAGCAAACAGTAGCTTGTTGGAGGGAGAATCCTAAAATGTAAGAAAACAACATTATTCATGGCTAAGCAGTTCTTAATGATGTCCTGTAAATAAAATTTAACGTATATGTGTGCTGCAAACATTTCTGTAGCACATATAAGCGGAGATTTGACGGGAGTAATGTTCAAACTACAACTTACCTTGCCGAGCCTGTGCTCCGAGGTAGAACAAGCATCCATCAATGTCTGGGCTATAACTGAGAGGCAAGAATCTACCACCGGGGTCTTCTGGATATCCAGAACAAAATCTGGGTTTTTGATGAAATTCACCCAGAAACGTAATGGTAGGCTGTAATATAAAAAAAAAAGGAAACTGATATACTTCATATATATATATATTTTCAGAAAAATGCCAAGTGCAAGTTTTTCAAATCAGTAAATTACGATCAATTTAAGATTTAGTAATTTCTCTTTAAAACGAAGTGGATAAGAAACTACTGAATTCCCAACTGAATAAGATTGTAATAAGACGACAAATTCATGAACGCTTAACATTAAGCTTTTAAACTTTGCAGAACCTTTGATAAGGTGCTAGAATTCCAGACAAACTGAGAACCCCCCCCAAGATGCTCTCCATCAAAACTGGGGGGGGGGGAACTGAGCGAAGTCGCACTGTCACCTGTAAGATGTTCAAGGCTCTTGCCAAAGACGGGCGTAATCTTGCTCTCCTAACCTCAATGAAGTTCATGGGCTTGTTCTGATGTTACAGTCAGGCAAATGAGATAAGTCACAACACAACAACAAAATATTAATATACATCTGTCAATGAATCATACAGGTATTATACACAGAAGCGGATGGGGTTCGTCTAATCTGAAGGGCAACTTACATAAAGGTGCCAGAAATTTTTCTCAAGTTGAACACTCGCCAAGACATAAAGGTAACCTGTGGTAAATGTGCAAAAGTGCCGACATCTCTAGGAAGTTCATTGTTCTGAAGAAAGTAACCCTCATTACCGGGAAACCCACATGAAGGTCTTAATTCCGGCAAACGTTCGCTGCTTGCGTACAGATGCAGGAAATTTTCCTCCAGCTGGACATTATTCGCCAAGACACAAAGGTATCCAGTGATAAATAAGTAAAGGTCCCGACACCTCTAGGAAATTCAATGTCGCAAACAAAGTAATCCTCATTAAGGTTACCAGGGCACCCATATGAATGAAGTTCTTAAGCTTAGCGAAGAGTCGCTGACTTGTAAGAATTGGAGGCTCTCTTCAGCCCACCTGGACACGAGTGTCCCCATAGTTCAAAAGAAGGGGCCCCGTATCTCCACAAACGAGGGCAGCCAGCAATCCAGCCACCCCCAAATAAAGGTACCGCTACTTTTATAACATTTTATAAAATCATACGGGTGGAAAATTACTCTTTCAGAATTATCCCAGGAACCGGTGCACCAGGAAGTTTCCCGAAATCCCGATACCTCCCTCGCCCTGATATATATATATATATATATGATTTGTCATATATTTACATATTCCCCATCATACACTTTCTTATTGCATACCAACGGCGAATTTATCAGCACTTTTGTAGAATTCCTAGCTATGTTCGAGGAGTCTTTGATAAATGTTGGCCTAAACAATTAGCATTTATTACACTTTAAAAAAATTACGTAATCAGAAATTAAATAAAATACAGAAATCTGTACCTTTGTGTGATTTTATTTAAAAAACAATCATTTCCAAGTTAAATTGTTTTCCCTCCTTTATGTACTTCCGTTAGCCTTCACTAGAATGTACATCAGTAAGAGTTCAGATACCACGTGTAGATATTATTCAGCTAGCTTTTGCTAGTAACACTGAGTTGTTGTTTATCTAGCGATCTGATCTTTTGCATGATTTTAAGTAATTAGTGATTTTCATATTAATTACTTTCTTTTCTATCCTATGCTTCCGTTTGCCTTTAACAGAATGCAGATTAGGAAGAGTTGAAACACCGCGCATAGCTCATTTAGCAGGCTTACGCTGGCAACACTGTTTAGCTAGCGATCCAACCAGCTTCCGGTCGCCTCGTATACAGTCTGAGTTGCTGAGTTTGCTGTGGAAAATTCGGTGAATGACTTAATAATTTCTTAAGCGGTAGTATTGAGTACGTGAGAGCTAGTCGTTTAAGAGCATGAGGCCCTAGAGTATTTAAATTCTTTTAGCTTAAACGTTTGGTTTAGTTTACGCTCTGCACTTAGCGACAGTTTTTTTTTTTTTTCCTAAACAGTAAATCTGTGAATTGCAGTAACAATATTTTGTTGTACACTAATTATCTCCGTTCTACAGTGCCTTGTTTATTTGTGAATTATCACTGAAGTTCCTAGCCTGTTGATGGTGGAAGATTCCGCAAGTTACTTCGCAAGTTTTTGCAGAAAAATGCTAATCACTGGTGTTTCTCAAATATCATTATGATTGACATTTTGTAATTGTATTAGAGTGCTAGAATGAAAAATTGCTATATGACCAATGCTATAAATTTGGATTAGACAAACTGCTATACTTAATAATTAATAATTCTCACACTGGATTTAAATTCATTAACATATAATAAGCAAAATAAACATGACTAAAAAAGCTTGAACTTTGATTTTTTAACAAACACTTTACCTGTTGCTCTTCCACGCATGTGCTACCTCAGGATCAAGAATGGCATGCGTTGCTGCAGCCTCGTCTAGAAGATCAAATAACCACTTGACGGCAGGTGGAAGGCATTCATTGGCAGTCAGGATAGTCGTCAAGAAATCGTCCACAAATTTTTGGACAGTGCCCTGAGTAAGGAAATTCATCAGTTAATTCATCAATGATGTAAATTAGCAATGATATAAATTCAATAATAATAAACAACACGGCATTTGCAACTGAATTCGGTTTTGAATGGTTCAGAAACTGAATTTAAAATTAGCGTACTTTGTCTTATTGGAGAAGGGCGAAAAAAAAATAGATATGTAAGACTTAACCGATTGTTAATCTACTTATTGTCTTAGATAACAAACATATTGTTAATATATTTGTTTGTTACGTAAGATATATAGCTGAAAGTCCCCCGCTGGCTGCCTTCTCCTCCATATGAGGTCTGCGAAAGATTACTTCGAACTGCATTTTGAACCATTACGAATATTTCTGCCGTACGTAAGACTTGAACTTTACTGCAAAGCCCTAAGACTACAGTCTTTGTTGCAAAGCCTTTCTTCTGGGAGACTTGCTACATGCACAAATTTAATCTGGAAAGTATTGTATTTAAGGCGCGTTCTAAAGTATGGAAATTCGAATGGAGTGCTTTCCAAAGCAAAAACTCTTTTTTAACATTCGAAAAATTCTATGAATCAATTTTTATGAATTACTGTTTTTCATATAGATGCGTTTATGGAGGGAATGTTTGCATAATGATATCCAATTACAAAGATGTCGTCATCTTTATGAGGTCATACGATGTTCACGAAGGTAGAAAGCTTCAAACAATGTTCTAGAGTAAAGGTGTCTACACTTTTATGAAGATCAGTTTTCAACACGTAAAAAGCAAATGAATATGCACAGGGCATCGCTTACAAGTAAGATTTAATTTGCTAGTTTGTTTAATCAAGAAAATGGAAATTCTGCCTGCGTATCTCAATGGCCCGGCATAACGGTGCCAGCACCTGTATGCCGGAGGTAGTAAGTAAAAATTTCTGTCTTGGTAAGGACTTGCTGACAAAGTTGTTGACAGCTAACTGGAATACTATTACGCAACAATCTTTGGTATAGAATGGCCTAAGATGTTGCTCGATCTGTCCCACCACTGTCAATTTTCTTGCGCAGGCATACTATTTTGACAGTAGTCTTATACAGAATGTCGATGGTCAACCATTTACAGTGAATATGGATGCATGGAACAGATTTCCAAGGGCCTTGCCGATAACAATGCTTTCAAACAGACAAGATCATTCATTGCAGCTGTCTAATAAAGGGCCACAATGGCAATCCACATGGAAGTAGGAAAGAGGAAAATATACAATCTTACGAAAATATTTGAAAATTCTATTCAGAATCGAATTTGCAATGAAATCACCAGTATGCATATTTCCCTCTAAGCAGCGCGTGTGTGGTGGCTCACTGAATTTTGTAAAGTGACAAATATGCCTTTACACAATGAACTACAGAGTATTAACTGATAAAGCATTTATGCTACATCCAAGTAACCCTACAACTATATTCTGCATTGCAAAGCTGGGTTCTTGAACTACTCCACTGCAACAAAAATTAAAGAGAACATTGCCAGTCTTTAGTGTTTTACTTATGATGGATAACATATAGCTTTCAAGTCAACTAAGTTCTTTCAATTAAAGCACGACTTTACAATCATTATAATTAATTTATTAAATAAATATGCACTGAAATTCTAACTAAAAAATTTCGAAAAATAAACAGTTTCTGATATACCTAGACAACTCACACCAGTATTCTGAGAAAAATCATTGAATGTTAAATCAATAAGTAATGGTAATTAGTTCATTATATTATGAATAACCCAATTTTTGACGGCAAATTATAAATAACAAAATTATGTAAATATCGGGACTAGTAATATTATCGAATTTTGTTAATATAAAAGGCAATAAAACACATATTTTTCGAATAATGCGAAGTAATACGAAATTTATATATGCTGTATAATTTGAAATTTTCATAAGGCGATATAACATACAAGTTTCTCAAAGCTTCTGGAACGACAAATGAATTATGAAGTCTGAGATCCCGAATCATCGGGACTTCGAGATTTCGGAAATTTCCGGATTGTACATCAGTTTAAATCTGCATGGCATGTAGATGACATGTAGACATGGCAAATTGTAGCTTTACTTATTGTTTATGTCAGATATAAGAATGGGCGAAGAATTCAAAAGTGGCAAAAATCTTAAACTTTAGAGGAGCACCAATTAGCAAAAATTACGGATGGCAAAAGTTTTAGAATTTAGGAATGTACCAAACAGCAGAATTTAGAATCCATAGACCACCAGGACCATCCATAGACCCACGCTACGCATTTGTACCATGTGAAAATGCGTAACATGGGCCTTGTTTTCCCACACACAACTATTCAAGGACCAAATTTGTATCCTAGCCAGCATCAAATGCAGCGCCAATTAATGCACTCTTAATGGCAATGGTGCGACTCCTAGCCAGCAGATGTTTGCAAGTAATATGCAAGAATCTCAGTTAGTCGGGCGAAAAACCACATTTACGGCATACCTACCTTCTTTTTGTTGATTATTTTCGGATTTCGATTCGTCCAGCAGTAATATAGTAATAAAAGTGTCTGTTTTATACGAATTTCACTTTTATGACAAAAATAATAAAGTACTTTTCGAAGAGCTCCAACTTTTATCATGAAGTAAGTTTCTGAATTAGAGCTTGCAATGCACACGTTTTATATGAAAGACATAAATAAGCAAAGATTTGCAAACTGTGCCTGTTCTCGATAAAATACCACTTACCAAAACCTTAGTTCTTGACAATAATTACTTTGTGTGATAAAGTATGTAATGGTGCATTGATAATATTAGTAACATCATCCAGGAAAAGCCCTTCTTTCTGTTCCTAAAAATTTCAAATATATACATCCGAAAAGCTGTATTTTTAGTGTACTTTCGCTACTCCGTAAAAAAAAAAAAAAAAAAAAAAAAAAAAAACAATTTTACTTTACTTTTCTATCCAGTAAACACGCACTGCGTCTTCCTTTATAAAACTTTTCAAGTAGAAAAGCCACACATAAAAACTTATCAGATTGTAAATCGGGACCAAGGCGAAAAAAAAATCATGTCAGCCCTGAATCAAATTTAAAGCTTGAATACCCTTCACCAAGCCCTCAAAGCTGTCCTTCCAGCTTTCGTAGCCATTTTCCTTTTTCAGTGAAATACACAAATTTTCTTTTTGACGTTTCGCTTTGTAATTCCTGTCTTATGTAATTGCAGGGTTTATTTTATTCTCTTTTCTTTTTAATTTTTCATGATTGCTGTTCTACGGATTTCATGCTTCTTTTGTCCTTTCATGCTTTGCTTGTTTACGTTTTTCTTCGGGGTTAGCAAGTCGCCTTCCAACCAAATCAAACTATTTCTCTCCACTTCTAGATGAAGAACAGGTATAGCATTCTAAAGATACATGGTACGGTTTTTGCTTTCTAATGGACTGTCTATGAAGGAAAGAATTTTTTTTTTTTTTTCTCATTTCCCATTTCTTACTCAGCGTAGCTCTACGTTCCCTGAAGATAGAAGGCCTAATTATTAAGGACAGACTTTCAATCTCACATCCAATCTAGAGTAGAGAAAAATCTTTCAAAAATTATGCACAGAATAATTTGATACAGTGGCTATCAAAGTACATAACACAAGAATATTAAACCCCACTTTGCAACAAAACGTTTCCCAACAATACAACAAGTATCTCACAAGTAACTATTAACACAATATTTCTAATGAACGATAACCAACTTTTAACAAGAGAATTAGTGTAATTTCCTGTAAAAGATGGGTGATGCATTCGAGCTTTCGATTCTCACGAATCTTGTAAAAAATTCGAATCTTTATTCTTTTATCATTATTACAATCCTAATCTAAACAACCGGTAAATATTTAAATCAGAACTCTGGAAAGACTCCCCCCCCCCCCGACGACCAAAAAAAAAATGAACGTGACTTTTGCAATCTCAGCCCCAATGAATGCAAACTATGTCAGTAAGTCAACTAACAAAATCGACCAAAATTATCAAGCAATCGGTGCTTTGGCTTTCCCAGAAGTCCCGAACTAACTCTCAGTGTCGATAATGCAAAACATAAATAACTTACAACAAATAGATCTTAAATGTTTCCAATGTCGCCCAGATGGGTTTTCATCCGCAGAGAACCCGTTGGCTCTTCGGGAAAGAACCCTTTGGCGCAGTTGCAGTTTTACTCGCCAATGAGCCGAGCCGTAAGCGTGATATTTTGTAAACGTGGTTTTTAGTGATGTAAATTCAAGTTAGCAGACAATGGTAGTAAAACTTCACAGATAATAAGTATGTAGATATGAAACTAACAGGTTAAACGTGATATACGAAAATAAATTTCTATTAAATTCAAGTTAGCACAGAAAACAATGTATTAAACATAACGGGAAGTAAAAATTCATTTAAAAAATAACAATTAGTATTCTTATACTTACGTTTACAATATACTTATATGTATTTTCTCTAATTCATATACCTAGAATACTAATATTTCTATTAGAAGTGTCTTTTTTCACTATTAAGTACTTTGCCTGTTGATTGATATATTTCGGTAAGAGCCATGCCCATGTAATAAATTAATGAATGCATGACCTTTAATATATCCATTTTACATAGTTTTAAGTAATTTTTTTTCAAGTTACTTGCATACAGCTTAAAGCATTTTACGTTTGAAACAAATATCTATCCTTTTTCATAATATATTTCACTATTGTGAAATATATTATGAAATGATGATATATCATATTATGAATCAAATTTTCTTCAGTAGCATTTTTAATAAAACTAGAACTTTATACATTTAAAAATTATTATAGGGGTTGGAAACCTCATGGTTCTTCTGCGTGCTTACAGCTGTTAATAATTAAGAACATATAACGTGAACAGCCATGTTACAAATTAGCATTCACCCCTCCCGCCATAATTTCTTCCTTTGATTCCGAACTGACGACCCGAGAACCGGCATCTTTCGACGAAAACTTCTTTAATTATGCGAAAATATTTTCTATCTATTCCGTTGTTAAAAAATTCAGAAAAAAAAATAAATAAATAAGAGAAAATAATATAAATCTCCAAATGAGAACAACGACAACCTTCGCATAAGCGAATAGGATGAATTAGCTAGGTTACCAGGTTTGAACTATTATCGTCAAAGTTGGCGATGTTTACATTTACTGGGTTCTCTGCGGAAGTGCTTCCGCCCAGATGGTATAGTAGTTAGGGGAGCCTACTACGGTACCGAAGGGCCCCGGGTTCGAATCCCGAAGAAGACATGGATGTTTGTAAATGTATAGTTTCGGTGCGGCATGGTGGCATCACTCTAAATATGCGACGAGCCGAAAGTCCTCTCGTGTGGATTAGTGGGACAGGAGAGGAGTAGAAGACCCCCGCATCCCCCCTCGGGGTGCACTCCTTCAAAATTGGGAGTGGAAAATAGAAAACCAACCTCTCTTCGGAGTAGGCTCTGGCAACCATTGTTCCATGTAATATTGGACAAGACAACAACAAATGTTTCCAACAACTTATGGCGTCATGGTATGTAAATATTTCCTTCGCGCACAAGACTCCATTTACCAATTGAACTACTCAACTGCAGTTGATGGATTCTGAAATGTTACTTAAAATCTGAGCCATTACTCAAACATTTTTCTGTCTTACTTTATCAAGAAAATGAACACCCAGACTGAAAAGTTTTGATTATGTACTTTATTTTTCAAATTTACTTTTCAGCTTCTTAATAAATATAGGTGAAATTTTTAAAAGCTGCAATTTTACTTCCTTGTACGAAGTTTAAAGGAAGTATTGTAATCGCGAAAAATTTCGGGTATCATATATCAACGAATATGTTCATGTTGACCGCTCTCGAATCTATTTGAACTGTTTTTCCCCCGACATGTGTACGTATGGGCAGAATAAAGGACTCTATGGATTTAAAATGGATTCAGAAGAGATTTGTTTTGTGATGTCTGTACTTAACCCTTAACGTATCTCGCATAACTCAAAAACAAGTAGCCGTAGAACGTTGATATCTTGTATATGGGCTTGCTATACTATCTACTTGTGCACCCTCTTTTTCGTTGCAATCGGCTGCACGAAATGTGTATATGTAGATGCATATATTCCCACCCTGTTATTCGGCTCGGTGAGCGCATTCTTTTTATTCTTATACAATGGTAAATTGTGCATTTTTTTTCATTTTAAAAGAGATTACGCGCCGAGCGTGCTGACCATTACACCACGAAGGCATGCTAAGAAAAGCGGGAGAAATACCTTATAACTTTTTAATTATGCTGCCCTTATGTCCCGGTTAAAGTTTTTATGCCTTTAGTTAATCTGCATGTTTTAGGCTTATCAAAAATTTTAAAGTGTCGCTAGGCTGAATGCGATGGTTATTTGTTTGCATTAGAAGCTGTTAGCAGTACAACGCCTATAATGGTTAGTGTCCGCCAATGAAAAGAAAAATAAATAATGAAGATGTTTTGAGTTTTTATGTATTTTTGCCTTACCGCGAAGTGAGAACGGAAACTGATTGAATGAGAATTATATATATTCAAGGAAATAAGTTTAAATGAAGTGCAGCAAAAATTGTGCACAATTTAATAGGCATACAAGGAAGTCACGTGGTGTCCACATCAGATATTTTTATTCTTTTCATTAAATGCAGATTCGAAATTTTGTTTTAATTAAAAATTTTTAATATTACGTCAAAGTCCTCCTCATTTCTTTTCTTATAGTGTTCAGTAGGCGAATTTTGACAACTAGATCTGGAAAACTTGAGAACTTTCTAATATTTAAAATCAAATTAGCAAATTTAAAGCTTGAATACCCTACACCAAGCTTTCAAACCTGTCCCTTCCAGCTTTCGTAGCCGTTTTGATTGATTGTGCTTTAGTCATACAGTTAAACTGATAACGTCCCAAAAGTAATCTGACAAATTACAATACAAGAATAACAATAAAATATAAAGTAGAAAAAAAAAATGTTTTACTTTGTATTTTATTGTTATATACTTTTAAATTACACGGTTTGAGTCGAATGCAATAAAAAAAATTTTTTTGTTTCGCATCCTGTCATAATATTATTGGCCATATTCGACTGAAAATAAAATCGTGGTGTTGCAAATGATGACGACTTTTAAAACGAAATTTAAAATAATAATAATAAATTAAGCGAACAAAATATAATCACTCTAATAAATGTCGTTTATATACTACCACCGTTATTGTTCCTTGAAATTCTGCTAACGTCCTAATACAATTCACATAAGGGTGCTAGACGATTTTATTTTTAGTCGCATATTACCAAAAATATTATAATAGCCTAAAAATTCATTACTTTTAGGTTAATGAAGTAGTTTACTAAAAGTAAGTAAGTAAAAATAACTGAAATCTTAACTTAATATATCTCTTATTTTATGTTTTTTACATCATTGCATAGAGAAAACATAATTATGGACTGTCTCTGATGTAGGCAAATTATTTATTTTAATAAGCGTAGAAATGAAATACGCGACGTCACCATTATTTCAAGGTCTTTCTATCTATCTCATGACATAAGTTTACACTGAAATTATTCAAATTTCTGTAGCTTAATGTTTTTTAAATAAAATTAAATGAAATAAATTAAAACATCAAAATTCCGTAATTTGCTTAAGAAATTATGAAAGAATTACAATTGAATTATCCCTCCCCCGATTTCTCTGATGACGAAAACATCGAAATCTTGGGATAATTTATTTCTTCATTAAAGCAAGAATATGAAGGGAAAAAATTCAACATTAAGTAAGAACAAATTTATACTGAATTTTGATAAAAGTCTTGATGAATGTTGTTTTATTAAAGCAAATATGTTAAGCGTGGGAATTTTCAAGAAAACAGATTCGATTAAAGGCGATTAAAAATTCATTTCATGATTTGATTTCACAAACAGAGCAGCCAAAATGCGGCAAAAATATAAAGGAAAATTAATTTTCTTACGTACCTTCGTGGACAGAAGCCTGGTAAGGAATATTTCAGGAATAGATTTATGGTTGTAGTCCTTCAATGGTGCTTGATCATCCTGCAGTTTCACCAAGTGCCAGTACCTCAATCCTTGCTCGACGTCATAGTGACCAACGATTGGAGACACAGAATTCAAAGATGCGTTGCCAGTGCCTAGAAGAATTAATGATATAACTCAACAAAAAATTCTCTGCTTTGAACAAAACAATTGCTTGAACATTAAGAAGAAACAAACATAAAAAAAATAACAATAAAAATCTCCTGCAGGTTTGTGACTAGGTTTGTGGCTTTGACATGGATGCTTCAAACAGTTTGCGGGAGAGAGAGAGAGAGAGAGAGAGAGAGAGAAAAAGGGTTTTCCAGCCGCTCGATTGTAACTACTAGATCCACTGCCAGTATTTCGATGCCCTGGGCGATCAGTATAGTTGGTACCCGTACAAATTACACATATTAATAATTCAATGCGAAGTATAACTTTATTTAGGCTGTTACTTGAAGTCCTCAGAAAATTGGCGTTTGAATCTGTTGCCTCTTAGGTTCACGTTTGAAGCAGAATTTATTAACTACTGTGATAAACCAAGATTTGCCTTTATAAGGTTTTGTTAAGCAGATTTTAAAGGCATGTAAGAAAAGTTTTACTACAGAGAATATTTACAAACATTTTATGATGTTGACGACATTTGTCTTCAATGAAATCAACAAGTATTTTCGTATATTCTTCAACACAAACGCTGCTGCTCCAGCGGTTGCTCTTTGTCCTCTTTTTAAGTCTTTAAAAAGACTTAAAATTGACTTTTGGAGTATGTAATATTACACAGAAAATTGCTATGATCCAAATCATGACAAATAAATTTCACCATTTCTATACATATTTACACTGATAATCGTTTACTGATTGGCTACTTTCATTAAAACCGTTTACTATTTGATTATTTTTGCTAAAATCGTTTTTGTGCTTTTTTCCGATTAATTATTGCATCGGTCTCTCAACATGTACATAAGAGCAACTAAAAATTTCCTGAAATCTAAAAATTTTTCTTTCATGTTACGAACATAATTTTATTCATAATACGAGTTAAGTCTTTCACCAACTTTTAAGCAAATAACATCTATTCACATATATACTTACAATTCGAGCTAAAGCTGTCATTTTGCTTAGTAACAAGACTCATAACAGCTGAGTCTTTAACACCATAATGCTTAAGGGTATTCAGCCTCCTCCAGCCATTGATTGTTTTTGTTGTTAAATCTTCATCTGCCAGCGTAAGATGTCCTCCACGGCCATGGCGCCATTCTGCAACAAAAGAATAATATTGTTGAACATGATCGACCTTCGGTTTTAAAACATGTTTAACTGTCCGATCAGGGAAGATTTAAAACAAGGGAATGCGTAAAATTAAAATTGGTATAATATCCTTTACCAGATTTTGCAGGACCAATAAGATTAAATAATATGCTTACCAAGATCCACGTCATGCAAAGATGGCCTGAGGGAGAACGGCGTGTTTTTATATACAGCGTCCAGAAGTTTCGCTTTCACTTGACTAGTGGCATCGCAGTCATTCACCCGACATACGATCTTCTCATCTTGATCTTCATGAACTACTTGTACAGTCTAGGGAAAGAAACAAGAATGAACATTTTTTTTTTTTAATGAAAGGAGTTTTATTTGAACAGTTTCTTAGACCATGAATAAATGGGTTCATGTCCTGATAATTAAATCGCAAGGTTAGAAAATGCTTGAGTACAAATAAAATTTGCTTGAGTACAGTTGATGAGTGGCCTTTATTTAGAACTAATTTGTAAATGTTAGAATATTAAGTTCTTATTTTCATCAATATATTTAAAAGGAAATCTCCTTCCTCATGATGACAACATGGAGCCATTTTCCACTATGGTAAAGCCAGCTAATTAAACTTTTGTTATGAACCATCAAACCAGGCTATTGGTCCAATTATTTAGTTCTCAAAGACCCGCTGATTCACGGTCAAACCAGATTATTAAACCATTTTTTTTTTTAGTTTCCAAAGGCCTTGCTCATCCACGTTTTCACACGTTAAACATCGTACAGTTGACTGAATGCTGTCTTTTGTGTTACAATCAGATATCACCCAAATTAGCCATATGCTGGCAAGATGATTGTTTGCAGAGCTTGCTTCGTGACAGAACAATGTATGGATAAAAATAAGCATGTTCAAGGGAATATGTTAAAGCATGCAATTGCTTTCTCACGATAAGGACGAGGTCTGAACCTTTTAATCGATCATGCTATTGTCGTCCAACTGCCATATGGTAACAAAGCAATTCTTGACGAATTTCAATACAAACGATCAGCTTCTGGAAGACTAATAACCATCTTCAGTTAAAAACACCTGTTGTTATTCTTTGTCAGAAAGTGTCTGATACGTCACTCCTAGATGGTAGCCTCGTGACGAATGTGTGCCATGGGATGTTCTTCCATCTACGATGGGGGCGAAGATGATGGCGTGTCCGTGACGACTTCATTCGTCGAAATTGAATTTCGCACCGCCCTCAAACAGGATGCGGTCGTCAAAATCAATCGCAAGGGGCCTCGATAAGATCGGCGAGAAAAGGAGGAGGTCTTGGAAGGTACTTTCCATTCCGCTAACGCAGAAATAAGGAGTACTTATATTGGCAGACATGGCTGCTGCATACAATAGGTTGGGATTTTCTTTTATGTCCAGAACAAAGCGGAAAACGCACTAATTGGTACTTTCAAAAGACTAACTACTGATGCCATACATACTAATAGCGTCTACGCACGCTATCGGGCGGTTCAAGCGAAAAAGATCCACTAAAAGAAATGGCTCAGTGGTAAAAGAAGGCAAATGCAAAGTTCAAATACTAAATTCACTTCAGGATTTAAAATAAGAATACCCTCGTTTTAAACCACTTTACCAGATGGAAGTATAAAATATTTATTATTTTCTCCTTTTAAAAACACCGCGTAATATAATCGCTGGTGGCCATGAATTAATACAACACCAAAAATAATACAAAGGTTTATGCTACTACTATTACTTTTTTAAACGCGTTTGAAACTTTCCATTTCATAAACAATTTCACGAACACATCGAAACAACGATTACATTAACAATACATAGAATTTTTTTTTATTTTAATAAAAATTTATTGGTACTAGCTGATGTTTCAGATTAGCACAAGCAAACAACTCCTTAAGGTAAAAAATCGTTGGTGTAAAAGACTCATTATTTTAAAAGTATTTTTTAGTAATAAAACGCAGAAGTAAATAGTTTCGCAAGGTAAAGTGAATTCAATGTCGTATATTATGGAAAGTCATTATTGTTATCGTATTAATATACAAAAGCTATTAAACAAGAATACATGAAAAATAATTATTGCCTTTATGTATGTTGGGAGATATTTAATCTTCCAAATCCAAACTGCGTAAGTCATTAAAAATTGCAACAATCTCAAAAACGAAAATACTTGACAAATTTTACATTAAAAAAATCTTATTTCATTGACTGAAGAGTCGATTCCAATGCACTTTTCTCGTAAAACTAGATCCTACATAGGATGACTGATTTATATATATTGGATGAAGGACTTAAGGAAAAAATAATATTTTTGAACAACAAATTTATTAGATTTCAAAAGCAATTTTTCTTCTAAGAATTTACTAAAAATTTAAAAATAACACCCAATTTCAAGAATGGCATTACGTTCAAAGCAAAATGAACCCGAAAATAAATCTCTTTAACTATTGAAATATAAGAATTTTAAAGTTCATGCTGAATTTGTTTCGTCTTTTTTCTCTTACGAGTAGTCTATGAAACGAAATTAAAAGATTTATTCTATAAACTGGACTGGATTGTTCTAATGTGACATAGCCCACCAGCGGCCGAGCGGTAAAGTCGCTGAACACTGGTAGTTCGGTCCGAGGTTCGAATCCCGCGAACGGGCTGGCTGCATGGGTGTTTTCGTGGTTTTCCCCATGTGTAACGTGTATACGAGCCAGTTTCCCTTAGAAAGTCCTCCACGAAGACATCCCTCCCCTTAGGCAGATAGCCCTCGAGGCTTTGCCGTAATTAAATAACCTAAACCTAACCTAACCTCTAATGTGACATGCAAATGCCCTGTTGCTACAGGCCTGGTTAAGAAATCACAGATGCATTAACAAAATAAATCTATTACACAATTACTAACTACAGATGTACAATAAATTTGAAATATTTCCCATTTCTAAATTTTGCGGGTAAACTGGCGACTAGGAAAGGAGGCGACACTCAGTCGGCCAAACCAAGATGTCCAAAAATTATCACCCAGCATATTTGTGTTTGAGATGTAAGCTAGTTATTAGTAATTTTTTCATAAATGTGATTAAAAAAAAAACTCACTGCGATTACAACTTGAGTCTTCCATCTGAGAATAATTTTGCTTGCAAAATAAATCAGAAAGGCGTACGAGACAATGTACGCTATAAACAATTTTTTAACTGTAATGTTATGAAAAACGCTATCTATGAGCTGAGTAAAATAATGTTCAAAGAAGTTAGACGGATTTTTTACTTCCTTGTAAGAAGTAAAAATGAAGTATTGTAATCGTGAAAAGTTTCAGGCAGCATATTTCAACGAAAATATCCATTTTGACAGCTTTCGAATGCAATTTAACGATGTATTTGCGTGATATCTGTACGTAAGGACAGAATAAAAGACTCCCTTCCTCCAAAAAAATTATAAAACTGATTTAAAATGAATTCTGAAGAGAATTTTTCGTGGCATCTGTACGAACGTATATACGTACGTAACTCGCATAACTCAAAAACAAGTAGCCTCAGAACGTTGAAATTTTGTATATAGGACTACTATAACATGTAGATGTGCACCTCGTATTTTGGTTGCAATCGGCCGCACCAAACGTATATAAATACATTTATATACATATCCACTCTGTTATCCGGCTCAGTGATCTCAGTTTCTTTACTCTTATATGTTTGTAAATTGTACATTTTTTGCTTTAAAAATGATTGAATTATGTTTTTCTTATCTTCCGGTTGAGGTTTTTAATTCCTTTAGTAAATCTGTATGCAATATTTTTAGAATTACCAACAATTTTAAAGTGCCGCTAAGCCTAATAATTTTTTTGATAGCGGCCATTGCTTGTTTACATTTGAAACAGCAGAGTAGTGGATTTGCTGCCAATCTAGAGAAACGTAGCTTCGCAAATGCCTTCATTTATTATTGTGAATTAAATCACGCTTAATCTTTTCTGGAATTTTTGGAGGAAATAAGTGTTTAAGATTTACTTCGTAATTTTCAATACAGATATTTTGAGTTTTTATGTATTTTTGCCTTGTCGCGAAGTAAGAACCGAATTAATTGAATGAGAAATACTAAATCGTCTCTGAAAAACTGATTTATTTTTATTTATTTATTTATTTTTTTGTTGTTTGCTTAATTTCGTTTATACATCGTTCTAGCTTTGTTATAGTATTTGAATAGAACATGTGGCAACGATTAGATAATTCTTTAAATGATATAAGTTTTGGGCATTATTTTGTGTGGTTTATGCGCTGTCGGCGAAGTAGGTTTAATTCAATCCAATAAGTTTAAACGAAATGCAAGAAAAAATGCGTATAATTTAATATTCCTTACAAGGAAGTCATGTGGTGTACACATCAGATTTTTTTTTTTTTTTTTTTCTTATTATTCAAAATTAACATATTATTTGCTTGCCACAGAAATCGAAAGTAATATATTACAATTCCAAAGCAGTACAAATTCCATTTGTCGGATCTTAAGCATAAATTATGTTTGTCGGTATACTATAGAATAGTCTGTATTAGTTACTATAAATCTCTTCCACGCATTCATATGATGATAACGCCAAAATTATATTTATATTACTCAGACAACTTATTACTGATCTAATGACTCTAAAAAGACTTCTGAATGGGAACAAATACCAAGATTATAACGATTTTATCCATTCTGAAGCCTAACTGAAAATAAAATGCAAATATCAGTAAGTTATTACCTACGGCCTAACGGTATATATTTGTTACATCATATTTTAAACTGGGGTTTCCTTTCTTTATTGTGATTCAGTGTTAATAAGGAAGAAACGTTCCTTACACAATATCTATAGAACAAAGATCGAAAACAGTGTAAAAAAGACTTCTGAATAGTCATAGCCTCAGTATATGAAGTTTCTTATATTGAAGACTTGGATATACAAATTAAATACCAATGTTCTTCATAATTGCTTTCAATTTCATAATCGCTCTACAGATGCAGTCAATGAAGTTCACTTTTGAAAGCAAACAAGACCTCAGAGTTCCATTTTTCCACTGAACTAAACGACATCAACAGAAAATAATGTATGAATTTTTCCATCCTAATCTCTAGCACAAAAATTATGTCGACTAATTGTTTAATTCGCTTTCACGTTATCAACTCTTCGTAACGACAGTTATTAAAGTAATTACAACAATTATTGGGGCGATATATCTCATCATTTGTTTTAGCAGAAAGAGTGATTAAATTAATTTTTCTATTTATTATAAAATAACCATTCATTGCATATTTTCTTGCTGTTTCAAGTCAAAAAAGTTATTATAAATTAAGCAGT